AGAAAAGGAGGGGGGGAGGTGGGGGAAAGATTAAAACTTGTAAAGGTGGTGATATTCCGGGTCCGACAGGTCCCAAATTGCCCGAAGTCCAAACTCTCCAGTCTCCGAAATCCCCCACGTCCCCCTGAGAGCCCGCAATCTGGGTCCCAGTAAATTGGCCAAAAGGAAGAACGAAAAATCAAAAGATCGGCCTAAACCTGTCAGCATGCCGAGCCCCCGGCCCAGGCCGAGCGGCGGAGATGGCGGCACCGCGGCCCGGGGCGCGTAATGTATGCGGCAGCGGCTCGGAGCCCCAAGCTGGCCGGCGCTTCGGCCCGTCTGCTGACCTCTGCGTGATCCCGGACTCTATGAATTATTGATGAGATATGAGCGTTGATTTCCCCTTTCAGGATGCAAACTCCATTATATTGTTAAAATGGCGATTTAATCGTTGAGAATAGCTTTGGTGTGGGTTTTTTCCCCCAACTCATTTGCGCCTCCTTCCTTTTCATTTAACTGTCTTAATTAAATCCTTTAACAGATTTTAATCACTTTTTGGAGGGAGGGGCAAAAGGAAGGGGAAGACCATCGCTACTACCACCACCACCAAACACTAAAAAGAAAACAAGCCCCCAAGCCATAAAAAGCTTCTACCTTGGGGAAGTCGGAAGGAAGGTAGGGAGGAGTCGTTAAGCTGTCCAGCAACAGCGCACTGGGAACATCCACCAAAGGATCCATCCCTCCGATGGCAGCCTACGTCTGACAAGGAAGGGTCAGGCCTGAGAAGTATTTAATTCCACCCCAAGAAGATTTGTGTGGAGTCTGACTGTGGACAGTAAGACAAACTTGCCCCTGCGGAGAGGAGCAGGGACCTCAAGCCTGGGGAAGGCCACATGACTCTGGTGGGGAAGATCTCTCCAATCTGGGCCCCAGGGGCACTTAGGGAGAAATGTCCATTTTCCTTAAGGGCCCCCCATTTCTTCCCTCCTCCTCCCCAAGCAGCACAGTTTCCAGGCTGGTGTCTGGGTTAATTAATATGGATGTGTAACAGAACTGCAGCAATCAATAAATCCGGCTGTGGGCAGATCCCAGCCTTGAAATCTGATTACTTCTAGAAACTCCAAAAATGGAGAGAGTGGCCCTAAAGGATGGGAGGGGTGCTTCCCAGCTCTGTCCTCCTTGGACGATCCATTGGTTCCCCAAGCTGAAAAGCTGATGCTGGGAAGCCTCTTCCTCTCTACCCCGGAAGGGACTGAGTTTGGGAGATTGTTCTAAGTGGGCTGCCTTCTTTGTTGTTCCAAATCCTTGGCTTCTGCTCCAGCATCCAGACTCTAGGGATAAAGGAACCAGGCGAGGAGAGGAGCTTCCACACGGATCTTGCCCCCACCCCCAGTGAACACGTTCTCACAGCCAGGGAAGGGTTAAGTGTCCCTGCTGCAGTTATGGAGAGGAAGCCGATGAAATATGGGCGCTCGGAACTCCAGGGCCGGCTGGCTTTCCTGTTTACACTTCTTTATACTTCCTCCCACTCCTCGCACAGAGAAACAAAACAAAACAAAACAACCAAATCAAACAAAAAATCCAAAATCAAATTGTCTGCTGAGAGGTGGTCAGGCAGGCCTTGGAGGGGCAAAGCCAACTACAGCCTGAATCCCTGGGTGCCTCCTCAGCCCTGCCCAGGTGGAGGGTGCAGTGTGGCTCTGCGGCTGGGTGGCGGGATCTGGGCCAAAGGGTGTTAGCCTGGGGCTCACAAGACCGAGCTGGGGAGGGGGAAGCAGGTGGGTGAGGAGGGAGAAAAGAGTCCTCCAGATTGAGGAGCAGCTTTCCCAGAGAAGGTCTTGGGGAAGCCAGGAAGGGAGGGCATGGGTCTGTGGCCAAGGAAGAGTTCCTTTGCACCAGAAACCCCCCCTTCTCAGCTCTCCTCCTCTCTCCCTGCCCCACGCCTCCTTGTTGGGTTTCAAGGGAGAACATTGCCCAGAGAACCTGAAGCAGGGAAGAGGAAAACCAGCTAGGGAGTCTTCTCCGGGAACCGCTTAGAGGAGGAGGAGACCCTTCAAGGGTTCTGACTTCCGGGGACGGAAATGGGCAACCGCCCCACCCCGCCTGGGGCCCCGCTCTTCGCCATTCCGGAAAATCTGTCTAGATATGCCCAGCAGATGTCCCGGGGCCGCCAGCCCCACACATTCTTTATCAGAGTTTGCAGAGCTGACATAGAAGGGGGCAAAAAAGAAAAAAAAATCTTCAGGGGCAGGCCTGGTGGTCTGGAGTTTCTGCAAAAGGGTGTTGGAAGGAGTCTAGGGCACACGGGAATGGGGGCTCCCAGGGGGCCCCAGGTCAGATTCTGCCCCTGCTGCACCCTTCCTCTGTACCATGCGCAACGCATCTGCCTTGTCCAGAGTCCAAGCCTGTGGAAGCTGTGCCTCCACAGTATATCGGTATCTTTAAAATGATGCTGGGGACCCTCTGGGAGCTGACCAGAGTCTCCTTGCCAAGGAATACAAATGCCTCATCATTCTTGGGTAAATTAGTCTTTAAATCAGGGTGGGGACCCCAAGCTCTCTGTCCTCTTTGCTCTCAAACCCGTCAAGATTCTCCTGTAAATCAGGCCTAAGGGAACAGAGAATGGCTACAGGGAAGAGAAGAAAGAGACAGAGAGTGCCCGTGTCCTTCAGTGGGAAATCGGGCAATATCATGGCCCTCCCCTGTCCCAAAGATCAGAAGCTCCTCAAGGTGCCACATGTCCAATTCTAGGGACTATTCCCAGGAGCTGGTAAGCTGAATCGAGAGACGGAGAGCTGGCAAAGATAGAAGGAACAGGGTGGTATTCCCCATGGGTCTTAAAATCGGGGGTCAGTCTGGTGGAGAGGAGGCCTCTAGTTTAGAAGAGGGTGATTTACCCTTAGAAAATAACGGGCCCCCTGGGGGTCAAATGATGAAATCCCTCTGGTCTGTGGTGCCACAAAACAAAGGGGCTTTTAAGGGTCTGGTAGGGAGAGAAGAGGGAGGGAGAGGAGAGGATAGAGAGAACCTCTCTGATTTTTCCCTCCTGCTCCTGAGTCCCCCCTTTCCTTCCCCCCCTCCCGGGCAGTTGGGGTCTGTATTCTTGAGCAAGTTTTATTTATGTGGGGGGGGGTGCTTGCCAGGGATCTGCTGAAATATCTAAACTCCTCCAGGCAAGGGAAGAAGCTCTCCCCTTCCCCCCACTCCTGGCCAGGAATTAGGTCTGGAATTTGAGAGGATTGTGCCCCTCTGACCCGCCTCAGAGCCAAGCAGAAGGGCTGGCTTGGAATTAACAGGCCGAAGTTAGTGCCCCACACCCCATCCTGGGTAACCCCCATGAGGCCTTGGAGAAATGGGAGGTACCCCCCTCACAGCGTTCAAAAATCCGAAAGCCTGAGAGAGCCCCAGGGCAAGGCAGCCCACAGCAGCCGCGTTAGCCTTCCTGGTGCTTTTTCTCAGCTCAGATGTATCCAGATAAAAGTGCCCAGCGGCGCGTCCCCATACACCCCTGACAAATGAACGTCGTAAAGTTTCTTTCCTGGGGCTGGGGGGAGATGTCCCTCTGAAGCCACCCAGCAGTGAAGTGGCCCCCTACAAGGGGCCCTCCTTTCAAGATTACACACCCTTCCCTCTTGCCCCCTAAATTTCCGAGGACACGGAAGGAACCCACACGAGCCCTTTTCCCCCACAAAGACTCAGACACTTTTTTACAACAGTGAGAGCCCCCACTTCAGATGCCCAGCCAGTCAGAACTTGGTGCAAAAAACAGACTAAATGTCCCCCACTTGCTCTCCTACAGCTCTGCCCGGAGGCGAGATTTCCTGCCCCGGGTTCCAAGCCCCAAAACTGCAGGGGGAGAAAGCGAAAGCTGGAAGCCACTTACCGCGGGAGTGCCGCCACTGCCTTCTGGGCTGGGAGAGCGCTCACCTACCTCTGCCCCCTTCCCCACCACGGCGAGCAGTTAAAGTGTCACTTAACATTCTGGAGAATGTGAAATATACCGCGCGGTGTCAACTCCCCAAAACCATAAAACTAACTTTATGGACCTCACGTGACTTTCTCGAGCCAGTGAGGGGTATCTGTCTGACTTCTCGGCGATTTTTACGATCTAACTTCGAGATAAAACCCCTATCCATTTGACATCTAAATGTCATAGCGACTTTTGGGATAGTTTGCTATGGACAAAGGGGGACAAAGTCAAGGGGTGAGGGGGAAGGAGGGCCCAGTAGAGCCTCTACGACCCTTGGCTGCCTCCTCACCAGCTCCCCCTCCCCCCAAGTCCTGTAAGAAGTTGGGCCAAGCTGGAAGGGATTGACCGGGTAAGTGTCCAGACTTGACTCTTGCACTCAGGGTGAAGGCGGACTTGGATGGAGGAGGACTGGGCCCTAACCCTGGGCCTCTCCGGGCTGGCAGGGGAACCAGGGGTCTTCCAGGAGGGACCCCAACTCCTTACCAAGAGGGAAGGTCAGTTGGGCCCCTGGAGAGAGGGAGCCCTTGATAAGTACAGAGAAAACTGAGGTTGAGAGGAAACCTTTGAAATTGAGCTGATTTCTTCTTCTTCTTCTTCTTTTTTTCTTTTCTTTTCTTTCTTTTTTGGTCTTGTGGGTGGCGGGGCTGATTTGGGATTTGGGCCGGGGGGCAGGGGGGCTGGGAAGGCCTGTACCACTCCCAAAAGGCCAGGAGCCTCCTGCTCAGGACTTAGGCCCACTTACTTTCCCTGTAGAGGTTTCCAGAGGCTTTTCTGGCTGGCTGGTGGAAGGCCAGGGTGGAGTCCAGCTCACCCTTTCCTTTGCCCCAGCCCCATGTGGGATTTCTGGGCCTCTCAAGTCCCCCAGACATGAAAGCCAATCCCCTGGCCAAGCACGGGCTCCCCAAGCGAGGAATGTACGTGGCTGAGAGGGGCTGCTGGGGAACAGCCTGCTTTCCCTTCCCTACACCCCAGATCTGTCAAGAGTGGTCTAGGGTGTGCCCAGTGATGGGAGAGACAGGCCCCCAGAGAAAAGACAAGTGGAAGGGCGGTGGAATAGGGGAAACATTTATTTGACTTCAAGGAAAGCTACAAACAAATACCAAAAGCGGATCACTGAAGACAGGCCCGGCAAAGGCAAAGACAGATTTCACACGTAGCACAGCATCCCCTCGCTCACTACAAATGGTCTCGGAAGCGAAATGGGTGGGGGGGGGCGGAGGGGATGGGTCTGACCCAGACTATCCCCATATTTACAAGCTTTGGGCCCTCTACTCCAGACCCAGGGATTCACAGAGAAGTACACAAGACATTTTACACTGAGCATTATTTTTGTTTCCGTCCACTCCCAGGCCAGGCCTTGTGGGGCCTACCCAGGCGGCAGGAACCTAACTCTCATGGTTTACCTTCCCTCTTCTCAAGATCACCCCTTGGGTCCTCCTGGCCCCCTTCCCACCCTTGGACCAAGTCACTGGGAGACTTGGGCCTGGTGCGTGGGGAGGGAGGAGGAGGAGGGTGGAAAGAGACAGTCTTGGACTCCATCTCCAAGGCCGGCTCAGCTGGGCCCCCAGGATGTGGCACTACCCCACCTCCAGGGCTGCCCCTTAGAGAAGTTTCCAGCTGAAACTCAAAATACAGCGACCATCCTTTTATAAATAAGTTAGAAGAACACAGATGGGGAGGGGAAAGTTCACATTAAACATGCGAGTTTCTTTCTTTCCTGGGGGAAGGAGTGCAACCACAAACACGAACATTCAGAAACACTGGCGGATTTGGGGTGAGTGGAGGGATGTGGGGAGCAGGGAGGGAAAATAATAATTATCATTATTATTAACAATAATAACAAGATTAACCAGTCCAGGAGAGAGGGAGCCACAGGAAGACCTAAGACCAAACGAAAAATCGTAACACAAGGCCTGGGCGAGGCAGGCTCGTGGGAACCGGTCCCCAGCGGGCAGTGGCAGCGCAGGGAGGCTCGGAGGGGCCCGGGCTAGGGGGCGGCAAGGGCTCTTGGGCCACCCAGGGCTCCTCCAGGAGGGCTCAGGGCTGGAAGGCGCTGCCGGCTGTAGCCAGGCTCATACTTTTCAGTTTGTTGTCTTTCTTCCACTTCATGCGCCGGTTCTGGAACCAGATCTTGATCTGGCGCTCGGACAGGCAGAGCGCGTGGGCGATCTCGATGCGCCGCCGCCGCGTCAGGTAGCGATTGAAGTGGAACTCCTTCTCCAGCTCTAGGGTCTGGTAGCGGGTGTACGCGGTCCGGGCCCTTTTCCCGTCCGGCCCCGTCATATCTGGAGCAGACAGAGTAGAGCGGCGAGGCAACGTTATTCCGGTTAAGGGAGGGGGCACTGGACGGGAGAGGGGCGTGAGCAGGACCCAGGCGTCCCCGGCACCCAGCTCACCGCAGCTCCAATCCTCCCCACTCCAGACGCCCGCATCCGAGCTCGCTCCTACACCCCCTCTTCCTGCGGCCCCCACTTCTGCCGGCAGTGAATGCGCCCGGCTTTGTCTCTTGCTCCCTCCCCGTGCCTCACCCTTCTCTGGGCTCAGGCGGCCGCTCGCCCCGGGAGGGAGGAGAGCGCTGCACTTTTGCCCCGGAAAGCTCGTCTTACTGCTCGCCCCTTCTTTGCTAGCAGCAGCCTCAAATTTCGGGGGTAAGCAGGACCCTTCCCCACGTTACATAAAACCCCATCCTTCATCCTATAGCTAGTACAGCTGGTCGAATAAAACCTTAGCGGAAGCTGGAGACAAATGATTAAAAATACTCCTCCCCAGCTAAAGACCTAGACCTTCTTTGGCTCTATCCCCCGAGCTGTGAGGACCCTCTTAGAGACTTCTCGCCCTCTGGGAAAAAAAAAAAAATAAAATAAATCTATATTTGAGGAGAAGCCAAGCTCTCCTCGCCTCCCCCCCCCCACCTCCCCAAACGCTGAGAAGGAAAGCCGAGGAGACAAAAAAAAAAAAAAAAAAAAAAAAAAAAAAAAAAGGCGAGCGAAAGCGAGAATTACCATGGCTGATGTGAAGCTTCCTCATCCAGGGGAATATCTGCGGAGTCTGCCCCTCGGGCGCGGCTGTGGAGGTGGCCATGGACTCTGGCTGTGCCCGAGCTAGGCTCGGGCTGCTTAGCTGGCTCGCCGCTTCCTCAGGCTCCGAGGACGCGCTGGCCTCGTCTATTTCGGTGAAATTGGCGCTGGAGCTGGCCGGGGTCGCCTGGTCGGAGGGGGACGAAGCAGAGGGCTTGGCGCCGTGGCTGTCGCCGTTGGTGCAGGGCAGGGACTCGGGCGAGGACAGGGAGCAGCTCGACGCCGCTTGCCTGAAGCGGGGCTCCTGGGCGGGCGCGGGGAAGGCGCGCGAGCTCTCGCCCACCGCCCCAAAGTGGCTGGAGGAGGCCGAGGAGCGGTTGACGCTGAGGTCCATCCCATTGTAATTGTAGCCGTAAGAGCCGGTGTGCATGGCAGCGGGATCCCTGTAAGAGCCGCTCAGAGAGCTGCCACTGCCATAATTTAGCAACTGATAGTCCGGGCCATTTGGATAACGCCCCGAGAAGGAGTTTACAAAGTACGAGCTCATTTGGGTGATTTTGGAGGGCTTGATTTGTGGATCGTGGTCGTTATAACCCTGTGCTTCACGATTTATGATGTATTAATGAATTATAGCGATGCACTGTACTTCGTTTTGCTATGTATGCGGCCAAATATGGGGGGGGGGGTTGGAAGGGGGATGGGGGGGCGTTAGGGAATCACGTGCTTTTGTTGACCAGTCGTAAATTCTCGCTGATGACCTCAAGAGGTAATTCATGCTCTATGGTTACAAATAATGACGATCCGAGAATCGTTAGGGCCGATTCAATGCGAGCCTCGGAGAGAGGGGGAAAAACGGAGAAGGGGGAGAAACAGGGAGAAGGTTGGCGGCGGCCTCTGAGCAGAGCGCGCCACCTCCCGGCGATCGGCGGGAGCGCGGGCCGCAGACTGCCATGGCGGAGACGGCTGCCTCCCTGCTGGCTCCCGGCAGCCGCCGGGAGAAAGAAACCCGGCCTGGGCTCACCCGCAGAGTTGAATCTTTAAGAGGAGGGACCCACTTGAGCCTTCACCCACTTTCTTCGGAGTGGGGTTAGACTATCTGTGCCCATCTCCCTGTCATTATTATTATTGTTGTTGTTATTTTCATTATTATTATTATTTTCACTCTGGATGAGATGATCAAAAATTGAGTTGCTTTTCCCTCACTTGGGCTTTGCAAGTCTCCGAGCTAGGGGCGGAAATGGTGCTGGGGAGGGCTGGAAGATGTGTATGAAAAACAATTATTGCAACGCGTTTCCCCGTGAGCTCGGCCTGGCCTGCTTCCTGCCCGGGTTTGCAGGGTTTGCAGTGGCCCACGCATAGCGACCAGGCGGAGCTGGCAGGGCTGGCCCAGGCTTCCACGGAGAAGCTTTCACTTCTGTGCCCCTTAGAAGTTTGGCATCCTCTTCCTGGCTTCCTCCTCCTCAGCCCAGGCCTGGAGAATGGCAAAGCAGGATAGGGACCCCAGAGGATGTGTAGGGCTGGGGTGAAGCAGCCTAGTAGCAGGGGGTAAATGGTGGCGACCGAATCCCGAATCCGTGGCTGGGGTTCAGGGCTCTGAGAACTGGGGATCAAGGCAAGATGCTTTCCCCTCGTCCCCAGATACCCGCTATTACATAGGAAGGCCCCACTCGAGGCCCCTTACTGACGTCTGGGTAGTTTCACGATTTGCCCGGTGGCCCACATCTTCCCTGTAAAGGGGTTCCAAGGACCAGCGGCGCCTTGCTGAGCGCGCTGGGCGGCCACAGACTACCGCAGCTGGGCTCCTTCTGCCGGGCGGCTATTTTCTTTAAAAATAAAAAAAGGGAGAGAGAGGGAGGAGGAAGAAAGGAAAACAGTGTCTGCAGCTTGCCGCCTGGGTGAGGGTGGGGGTGGGGAGAAAATGGGCCGGTTTTTGGTTGAGGGGATGAGACCAAACCGCCCCACCACCTGGCCTCCTGCCCTCAGGTCTCCAAGGAGCCGGGGAAAGTCGTACCCTCCGCCCCGTGCCTGCCGGCCGCTTCGAATTCCCCTACTTGTCGATGAGCTTCTGCTTGAGGCGGGAAGGGGCGCCTGGAGCCTTTGGCCGCGGGCAGAGAGACACCCGGTGGCCCCGATGGAGTCTCTGGAGCCAGAGGCCAGGAGCCAAGGGCCAAGGCAGGCGGAGATCAAGCCATGTGGGCAGGCCAAAGGCTGCGGGCCTCGAGAGCTGGAGGACAGAAAGGCACGGCTGCGGGGCGACACCCGCCTGGCTTTCTCGGCAGGGGCTCCGGGCTCGGGCCTTGGCGGTGTCCCTCGTGCCACGGACAAACGAGGAAAAGCTTAGAGAATAAGAGGGAAACGGCCCTGCTCCGTCCTCCAGGTCTGCACCAGAAGAGGCTGTTGGGAGCCCAAGGCCAGGCGGGACTGCCCCAGCCTTTATCTCAACTGTAACTTCCGAGTCGTGTCGGGCCCGCTGGGGCCGACCAGGGCTCCTGCCTTTGCTGCGGAGTTTCCGGCTCTGGGACGCCAGGGTGGCCTCCAGGGTGGGGGAGTGGCAGGGGAGGAGCAGAGGTGACTGAGCGGCGAGTTTTTACATCTTTATTATTATTATTATCATCATCATTATTAATAATATTAATATTATTACCGAAGTATTTCACGTCCAGAGCTAAGACAAGACTACAAACACAACACATAGAAAATTAATAAAATAGAACTTTGTTTTCTTCTGAGGCTCCTCTTCTTACTTCTAGGTAGTATGTGCTCCTTCCAGTGGCTTTAGGGAGGGGGTGGGACAGAGGTCTGGGGTCAGGGAGTCTTCGAGGCCCCCCCGCTGAGGGGGCTGCGAATCTACCATTGAACCGTGCACAGGGAACATGGACGAAATGAGACGCGACACGGACAAGAGCATTTTGCTCTGCTTCCAGGAAACATCAAGTGAGTCTGGTCCTCAGTTCTCACAGGGGAGCATGATGGGGCTGAAGCGGGTCCGCAGGGATGGAGGGGGCGCTCCCGGGTGCTGGGTGGGCTCAGGCGACAAGGCCTCCCAGCACCCAGTGAGAGCTCTGCGGGCGGGGGCATCCAGGAGAGCGCTGGTCCCCGGCTGTCCGGTGCTAGAGAGCAGGTCCCCCGGGCTCCCCGCCCGCAGAGCCTTCCCAGGGCTCTCTGATGCCCTCGGCTCCCCACAGGCCGCTCCCTTCGCGTCCCCCCTCCCTTTCCAGCGCCTTCACTCGGCTGGCTTCTCTTCCTCCTCCTCGGCACTGAGCTGAGACGCGCTGAGCAGTTTGCTCTCCTTTTTCCACTTCATGCGCCGGTTCTGGAACCAGATCTTGATCTGCCTCTCGGTCAGGCACAGGGCGTGCGCGATCTCGATGCGCCGCCGCCGTGTCAGGTAGCGATTGTAGTGAAACTCCTTCTCCAGCTCCAGGGTCTGGTAGCGCGTGTAGGTCTGGCGGCCGCGCCGGCCACTGGGCCCAAAGGAGGAACCTGTTACGCAGAGAGAAGATGCTGAGGCCTGGGGTCACCAGGGCCAGAACCCCTCCCCCACTCGACCCTCAAACAGGGACTCTAGCCTGTCCCGGGATGCCCTCCACTCTTCAAGTTCCCTGCCTCCCCCCATCCTCACTCCTCCAGCGCCCCCTCCAGATTCCCTCAGGGTCTCCCAGGCCTGTGCCTCTGGTCTAGACTCTTGGTGGGGGATGGGAGGAGAGTTTAAAATCCCACCTGAGCCTAGGGGGAGGGGCTGGGGAAGCACTGGCCAGGTGTGTCTCTTCCTGGCCTTATCTTTTCTTTCCATCTATCTGGCTCCTCCACCACCCCGTGATAGATTCCAGCCCTTAATCCGTAACGACGTGGATCGATCCAGAGTCGGCATTAACGGCTCCTCACTTTCGTGTCCCGCTAATGGACATCAATTTGGGACTTAAGGCCGACAAATAATCCAACCTGAGACCCTGGCGCCTGCTTCCCCCTCTCTCCCCCTCGGCCAGCTGCCTCTCCCTTTCTTCCCTCCTTCCTCTGACTACCACCCCTTTCCTGGTGCCTCCTCTTTCCCCAGCCCCGAACCCCCAGGGAAACACAGTCCGGGACAGCTCAACTCTCCCTCGCCAGCGTCACGCCGCCCCCCTTCCCATGACGCACACCGTTCTTAATGGAACTGTCTTCGGGTGGGGGACCCGACCGGGGCTGGGGGCGCGGGGGTTGGGGGTGGAAAGCCACGCCAGTGGCTGCGGCCCCTGCCCCCTCCCCTGCCCCGGAATCGGGCTCTGGCGCGGCGCTCCGGGAGAGCCCACTCACTCCCCCTGGCTCCCAGTGTAGCTGGGACTTTGCAAACTTTGTAACTCCTGACGGCGAGAGGACAGAGCGGGACACCTCGGGGCGGGCGCCCAGTCTTCCCTTAGCTCCTAACTGAGATGCCCACCCGGCACCCCGGGGAGTGGAGGGGGGCGCTCTTTCTGTCCCCGGGTGGGGGGGCCCGCGGGGGTCGGGGCGGCCGCGGGAGGGCTCACTCACTGTTGCACGAATTCATCCGCTGCATCCACGGGTAGACCGGGGTGGAGCACTTCTGCTCCTCGGCCTCGCCGAACACGCTCTTGTCCTGCGCACAGTCGGACTTCCGCGGCTCGGGGTGGAACCGGGGCGGCTCTTCGGCGCCCGAGAGCGCGCAGGCCGACTCCTTCTCGCGGTAGAAGGCCGGCGCCGGCCCGTAGTCGCAGGGCGCCGCTCGGCCGTAGCCGCCGCCGGCGGGCGGGTAGTAGGAGGAAGCCGCAAAGCCCTTGTCCTGGCCGGGCCCGGGCCCGTAGGGCGCGGGGTAGTGCCTCAGCGGGTCCGCATAGCCGGACGAGTAGAGCGGTAGCTGGCCCAGGAAGGACTCCTGCCCGCTGGCCAGAGTGACGGGGAAGGTGGAGTTCACGAAATAGGAACTCATTGGGAGGGGAGGCGCGCTCGGCCGCTGCTGCTCCGCCGGGTTTATGATTTGTTGTGTTTTATAGTCCGAGCGCCGCGCCTATTAGTAGTATATCTGAGATTGGGTTTTAGCTGAGGGGGGATGGCGAGGTGCCAGTGAGGGCCAGAAGGAAATACAACCATCTGATCCAACACTGACCAATGGCAGAGGCAGGAATTGTCAAATAGCACCCAGGAGGAGCGCAGCCCGCGCGAGGGACCCGCGCACAAACCTATCAACCTTTTTTTTTTTTTTTTCCCTCCTTCTTCTCCTTCTCCTTTCTCTCGCTCTCCCCCCCACCCCACAACACAACGCGTCCTGTTCCACCTACGTAGATCTGCGAAAGAGGCGTCTGTGCCTTTCAGGGAGGAGGGAGCATTTGGATGGAGATCACCCCATCCCCCAGTGATTAAATAAATATATCCCTCCCCTCCCCACGTAGGATTGGAAAAAGTTAATTGTGTTTTCAGAAAAGTTAACCCCTGCGTTGCTCGAGCCCCCTTCCCCCAAGGGAAGGGTGAGTAAATGTCCTTCTCCCAGTGGTGAGGAGAGAACTAAAAGAAAAAGGTTTGTTTCTAGGGTTTTGTGTCTGTAGAAGAGGAGAAGAGTTCACTATTTAGCATCGTTTTCAGAAGGAGAGGCAAAGAAGAAGAAACACTCCCCTCCCCAGGTTTTGAAAACTGGTTTTTCCTATTTCTCAGGTCTATCCTGCGTCCTCCAAGCCTGGGTTTATTATCCCTGTTTCTCCTCAGCTCTTCTGTTCTGAAAGGCAGGCCAGAGCCTGCTGCCCAGAGGATCCAGAAGGCTGCGAAATGGGAGGAGGGTCTGAGACCAAGCTGGTCCCTCTGGCTCTGGCCAGGTTAGCCTAGTCTAGGAGCTTCTTGGAAGGCTACTGCTGCTGCCTCTGCTGCCCAAGACATCCTGCCTGTTTCGGGCAAGTGCTGCTTGCTCTTGGCACGGGAAGGGGCACTAGGGAAAGGGACTAGAGTTCTCTTTGATTGAGGGATAGGGAGAGGAGGAGTGAGGGGCATCCCCCACCTAGGTTATCTGATCCCTATCCTGACTGCAAATCCCCACCCTCTACCCCCCCAAATTATTATAATATCCTGGGCTACAGAGTGTGAGGAATCAAAGATGTCTCAGTACGTCTGAGCACAGGGAAGAAATTGATCCTCCTCCAATTCCGGGTCCTTAAACCCTCTTGATATC